TACCGCCGCCCCGGGCCGGGGCAGCCCCAGCTGCTGGGTATCGCCCGCCCCGTGTCAAACGGCAAAGAGACGCAGGGGAAACACAGCCATCCTTCTCCAGCCTCTGCCCTCCCGCCTGGGTAAGCACCCGCTCAGCCCCCTCACGCCCCCAAAAACACCCCAAAACCACCCTCTAGGCCTTCATCCCACAACTGCCCAGGAAAATACCTCACCCCACGCTGTAAGCGTTAAGGCTGTTTGATGTTTGAACTGATTCTGGGACTCCTGTCCCTGCTGGGAGCCTGACAGCCTCACACCGGTAAGGGGCGGGGGGGGGAGGGGGGACAGCAGCAGGATGACAGAAATCATGTCATCCCCCAAAAAAACCTACCAAACATTCCTAGCATTCATCAGTTTTTGTAAAACAGTTACAAGATACACTGTTGTGGGCACTCGTTTAAGACTTTGCTACATAAGTTACTGCTGAAGCCATGCTAATCACACTAATTGCAACAGCTTAAAAAAAAAAAAACCCTGACAGTGCAGTTTTAGTTTCTCTGAGGAAAAATGTTAAAATGGCATTTTTATAAACAACTTGGCAAAGTTACCTTTCACAGCACCTATCTTTCACCCAAAACCGAGGTACAGCTGTGGTCTCCATCTACTGTTAATTCTCTCTCGATCAAAATACACACCCGAATGAGAAATTTATTGTTTGCAATAGTTACATTTACTTTACATATAAAATAGGAGTTCAGATGTTTTCCATCATCATGTTTTGGTACTGAATATCCCAATAGTTCAAAACAGAGTATTTTTTATTTTAAACTGCATAATATGGGATGACAAATCTCAAAGGTAAAACATTCTTACCCAAGTAATGATTTATAAAATGCATTTGTAGTTCCTTGCCACAGTGAAAGTACGCTTGGGGCATTCATTTATGAAGAAAAAAAATCTTTAAAAGGATTATTAAGGCAGAGTGGATGATTTTAGAGTACTTCATTTGGTATTGTGACTGTCTTGACTTAATCGAGCCGCAAACTCCACTAGCGTTCTTGTAGGCCGCCCTGCCATGCCTTTTCGAAGATAGGGCACCTCATCTTTATTCGACATCACACCAGCTATATCTAAATGAGCCCAGTGAGAAGCAGTGACAAATTCCTTCAGGAATGCAGCAGCTGTGCATGCTCCTCCAGCTCTGTGGGAAGCAGAAAAATTGTGTTGTTTCTAAAGCCACACCAACAGCACAAACTTTAAACAAATACACTGAAAGAAAGGGGCACCTGAAAGATATTGGTACATCTCACCTGCTGTACTTTCCAATGTTACTCAGATCTGCAAGAGGACAGTCTGTTACTTGTTTTGTGTAATGTTCAAAAAGAGGCATTCTCCAAACTCTGTCTCCTGTCAGAACGCTAGCCTGAAACAGAAACAGTGATAGTTTTGGCAAATTTTTCTTTTTTTTTTTTTAAAAAAACTGCTTTTATAAGCCCTGGTATTGTCCATGCTTATTTTTGTTTAGCTTATCATTCTAAAAATCTTCAGCTAAATATAATACTAGGTATTTAGAAATACACTGCAAAATACACACAAACCAGTGAATCCTACTTTTTAGTACTTTAGTGTTAGTCAAGAGGCAAAATCTAAAGACTGCTTTCCCCCTCCTCCCATTTTTCTCCCCTGACAACACAAATCCTTCCCTTCAGAGACTTCCTTTAACCATCACACTTCAGCAACTCAAGAGGCCTCTCTGAATTTCTATCAGTGTTGTTAAGCATGACCAATTATGTTTTTAACATGAACTAATTACTGTCAGAAGTCCAGAGTTTATGCATCCGCAGTAAGTTATCAGAACATGCAGATCCTTGACATGATCTGCATGTTGTTTGCTGAATATTAAACCTCACTAAAGAGCTAATTTTTTCAATTAAATGCAGTACTGACAACTCCTATGAGATTTCAAAATGTAGTAACTTTTAGATTTGCATAAAGTAAGACTTTCAGTAATGCACTAACTTTTCAATAACAACTGAGATTTTACTGAATTATTATTATAATTTAATAATAATGCAGATGGCCTACCTCATAAAGGTGAGTCCAAAGCCAAGATGAGTTTGTGAACACTCCAGTTGCAGCAGACCCCAATGCAACATCCATGGCACCTACAGAAACACACCTTCAAGGTTATACAACAACAGGTGGACCTGAGCTATTCCTCTGCATCCTGGCTTCTCACAGAACTTTCCATTTTTAATTTCCCATTATCAGTAATTTCTAAAAAGCCTGCAAAACCTAAAGATTTTTAGTACACTTGCATTTTTAAAAGTTTAAACGTTAAAACATTTATACAGTCTAACAGGACAAGAATTCATAATAACTATATTCTGTATTTCATGAAACTAGATTTTCTGTTTTCAGCACAATGTTTCTTAGCAATATTTCTAGTATAACATTTTCAGCAATAACAGTGTCTTCTCAAAAAGAAATCTCTAAATTTTGTTTCCAAATAGAAAATAAGTGAGTTAACTTTTTTCAAATTTATAGAGCTCTGCAGTTTTCAAGCTGATACTTTCCCTTTTGTGAATTCCACTTGCACAGATTTTTGCACAGCATATGTGAATTTATTTTAAATGAAAATAATCCTTATCAAAATACTAAACCATGCCTAAAACAGAGGAATTACATAAACTTTTATTTATTTGATGCCACAGAACTGCTTCTCTAATGCCAACACTCAACCCTCACTGAGATTTAAAAAAAAAAAAAAAAAAAAGTAGTTTAACAAAATGGTACATCAAACAAATTTCTACAGGAGCTCTCCTCCTTCCTGCTTGGTGCCCAAGGATCCCAAACACAGAATAATCTACAGTGGGAGTAAACTACTTCTGTCACGCCCTTTATAAGAGAATAGCTGTATGGAAGCCAACAATCATAAAATTGGCATCTCTTCTGCCTATTGAATTTTTCCACAGCATTTGAACTGGTAAAACTGATGGAACATAGGTTAAAGCACTAGTAGAGAATATATGGAAAGATAATTATTTTGCTTAGCATATTCATAAGCAACACAGTGGACTCCTGTCTGAACTACTCTTCCATGTTTGCTCTCATTTCAGCTATAGTCACTTCACCTGTGACAGCTTGTTACTGCAGTTCATTAGATGCATACACAATACTGGTTTTAAATTTAAAATTATAACCTTATTCATATACAACTGCAGAGATAAAACAATTAGAGCACATTTCATTATGCCTGAAAGTATGCTAACTGCACATAAGAGATACTTCACCCAAATGAATTCTTGGGAAGATGATAATGGCTCTCCTAGAATCATGGAAACCTGAGCTAGCTCACGTAATGGAAGAACTGGTGCTGACTAGGTCAGAACTCAGGAAGCCATTCACAAAGAAGCTATTTTGGGTCCAGCATGGCCAGTGCCACATGGACGTGGCAGGATTTTTCCACAACCACAGCAGTTATCTGTGCATCACACAGCCCCAGGAGATGGGAAGCCCCAGGTGCTTGGCTCAGAAATGGAAGCACTGGAAACCATTGTGCAGAAACACCGAAGTCTGTGTAGGCTTTCTCGTTCTTAGTTCCAGCTCAGCTGGGCTGGCCCAAATTTACCTACATTGCTGAGCAGGTACCCTGCATGCCAGTACCCTTCCCAGTCCCAGAGACACAGTGCAGCCGTACAAGTTGTTAGAGCATAAACTGTGCTAGCTGTTGTCCTACAACACGTAACATCATCTCAGTTGCTTTCCAATTCAGGTTGGCTTTATATACATAGTGCAACTCATCCACAGCCCAATTAATGAGAGTAACAAAGAACTGACTTGCAATATGAGCAGGGGAGATTGCTTACCTGTTAATGTTGCAGCATTCACAATAGCCCTTGCGTTAAAATTGTGGGCATAACAGAGAGCGTCAGCTAACAGCAGTCTTCCTTCTGCATCTGTGTTATCTACCTTCAGGTGCAAAATTATTAAAACCAGGTTAACTACTGAAAACATCCCTTTCACTGACTTCTTTCTTACATATTATCTTAAATAGCTGTCAGATTGTGAATGCACTGTCGCAGGCCCTAGGAACTTCAGGTAATCAAAATTTACTCAAACTAAACTAAAAAAAAAAAAAAAAAGAAAAGGGATAGTACTGATATAGTTATGTTAATAAAAATAAAAGCATATCTGTAGCTAAGGTCAAGTCATCTTTCAGCACTGCAAGCTCCTCTGCATGCTGGGCCTCTGTGCTCCTGGCTCCTCAGAAGAGCCTGGAGGCTGGAGAGGCGTCCTGGTGGCGTGCAGGGGGGCTGGTTACCAGTCCCAGCAAAGCCCCAGGAATCCCAGGGGCTGCTTCTGAGCAAGCACAGGGATGTGGCCCACAGAAACCGCAAAGAAGAGGGTACCACAAAGAAG